TAATTTATTATTGGAATTGCTGTCAAAATCCCTTTGGGTAATAAAATCGCACTGGGAAAATAATTTAACGTTGGAATTAAGTGATCACCTCTGGGAAACTATACTTCTAAGGGTACACTCCTCTTCTGTTTCTGCTAGAATTTAAGATTCTACATCGGTTACATTTCTCAAAAGAAAAACTTGCAAAGATCTACCCAGGAGCCAACCTAATGTGCTGTTGCTGTAAATCCAATGTCGGGTCACTTGCTCACACCTTTTGGCGATGCCCTAAACTTACCCAATACTGGGAATTAATGTTTCAGACACTCTCAGAAGCGTTTAAAATTAAACTCAACCCAAACGCTCTGACGGCACTGTTCGGACTGTTGCCACCCAATATCTCTACTTCAAAATATTTCTCCTAGGCGGTGGCCTTTGCATCCCTGCTGGCAAGACGTCTCATTCTTCTGAAGTGGAAACAAGAGGCCCCTCCCTCCCATAGTCAATGGATTGCAGATATTATGAGGTATCTGCATCTTGAAAAAATGAGGTGTACCCTTTCAGGATCAACTATTAAATTCATTAAAATATGGCAGCCATTTCTAAAATACATGGAAAACTTCAAGCTACCTAGTATTCCATAACATGAACAGGTCAAATGTAAAATATTAATAGCCTAACAGTGATAACTCTCACCACTTAGGATCACTATTAGAATTCATTAATATTACTTGTGCACAGATTTGTAACCGTCTTTAATTTATTATTATTTGTTCTGTCCTTGTTCCGTTTATTTTTTTTTCTCTCTTTCTTTTCTTGCTTAAATGGGGGTTTCATTTTTTTGTGTTTGTTCTGCTAATTACTGCTGTGAACAATCACTGGGATAAAAGACAAATAAGGTAGCAATTGATGTATACTGGTCATATGGTGATATGTAATTCACTGTCTGAAAATCATAAATAAAGTTTTAAAAAAAAGGTTTTACCAAATCAGACGGTGTTATTAAAATACAAAGTCTAAAACTAGAGTTAACCTTCAAAACCAAAAGAGGGAAATACCCTCGCCAAGACTGTTAAAACAGTCCACGGGGTATCTGCAGGTTTAAGGGAGTCAAATTTAAGACTTTAAGGCTTTTTTTAAGGCCACTTAGACCAAATTTAAGCTATTTTTAAAAATTAAATTTAAGCTATAATTTCCAGCTATTGTCTGGAACTGGTGCCAACCACTTTGCGAACGTGGGTTTAGCCATCCAGTTACCATTAAACTTGCCCTTCCCAAGCTCCCACTAGCTTAACCAGCTAATGTGCTCATCTAAAAATTGTCCCCTTTCACAACCAACTGAATGTGCTTATGCCAATATCATACACAAAAAATGCTGAACACCATTTCACGAAAATTTTATGGAAATAAAATAATCTTGTTTATTGGGTCTTTGGAAATTTAAGACCTTTGGAAACTGTAGTTAAGGATTATTTGTCATTTTTAAGGATTTTTAAGGCCTTAAATTTGGAAAAGTAAATTTAAGACTTTTTAAGACATCTTAAGGACCCGGGGATACCCTGGTCTACCAAGATCCCTGAGGATCATCTCAAAGCTAACCCTTTTTTAGTTAAGCTTCTCAAAACAGAAGGGGTTAAAACCAAAGAGAGTCCTGGAGCACAACAGAACCCCTGCACCACTGCCTTCCAGACTGCTGGATGGCACATCTTCTTATCCCAGGCGTTGTTCATTAGTGGGATTCAGTTCAGCTGTGCTCATCAGCAGCCTGGAGAGGAGGAAGGGTGGTGGTGTCCTGGATGGTCCTGGCTCCTATCGGTGAAGGGGCCAGCCTGACGGCCGTAACACTGCAAGCCTGTCAGAGAACCCTTGCGCCGACGCATGATGGCGCTGCATATCTCCGTATCCACACAGATGGATCAGTATAAATTGGGCTTTAGCCTTTACCTCACATATAGCTAGATGCTGTATTTTATTATTGTGGAAATTTTCAAAGCCTCTTTCAATTTCTTTTTGGTTTCAGAATGTTTTAAATTTTCTAAGTTGGAGAAGGTGAGCCTCGTGGTAAGGGGAGCATTTGGAAAGACTGACTGTATATGAGGCCCCTTGTGAGTCACTGTAATTTCTAGAGGTGATACCATCCAAGTGATAACTCCACCACCACTACACCCCACCCCCATGTGGTCTGTTCTGACTATCCGTGCTTCCTCGTTGAATATTCCTACCGCATCGTGTTACAACAGTTTCACTCTTGTTTACAGTATAGTAACACGCTTATTAAGCACGGTTTATTTTAAATAGGTGATATTACTCAAAAATGCAGAACTGTAGTAGAATTATTAGCAAAAATATACAATATTTGTTGTTATGTATTTATGAAAAAGACAGTGTTTGTCATGATTCCATGAATGATGATAAACAATGGGAGAAATTCCTTGTTTAAAGTATAATGATATATTACAAGCTAACTGTAAGGTAAACATATAACAAGCAGTAATAGAACAACTTCCAGAAGTAGCGCGTCTCTTCATGTAAACAGCCTGTGAAGTAAGGGTTGTACGAACTAGTCGACTAGTCGCTGTCACGTGATAATGACTGACAAGATGCAGTCCTCGGAAAAGACAGCAGGTGATGAGCCCCTGCGCGTCTGGATCGAGGCGGAGGCGACGCGCTGTGCGGTACTGACACCGGCGGTAAAACGGACATTTAACCAAACTGTGACCTTTTCCCTCTTGCAATTTAACCTTCCCCTCACCCCCATCCTAATCTTAACCAGTTTGCACATGCAAAGCTCTGATCGTTGACGCGCTCCAGACATTGCGTCCTGAGCAGCGCCAAATCAGGTGTCACCACCTCAAAAACAAATTAAACACGCGATCGTTCATGTCGGCTCATTTCCTTTCATGTTTTCTGTCTGTTATTTGTGCCTGATGCATTTCGCTGCTGCGGAGCGAGGCGCATCACCTGTTGTCCTCCGGTGACGCACCCCCAAGATTCCACTATCTCCACTCCGCTCCGCTCCGGCATGAACTCCGCAGCAAAAACGGTCCCGTTGTAGTCGGCCGGCGAGCAGCGGCACTCCGCTGTTTTTGCGGTCGGTAGATCTTTTAGAACTGCAGTTCAAAGGTAACTCATAAGGTATGGTATATATGAAGCCAGGTAGCAGTTTTTCTTTAGGACTGAGAGGAGATGCAGGAAGATAATAAACAGACAGGACAGAAAAATAGTCAAATAAAAACAAGTTAGTTTTTGTACCTGTTGGTTGCATCAAACAGACACCATTGAAGGTAATCAGAAGTGAGGAACAGAAAATGAAATAATTATTTTAATGTTTAGAGCAGCAGGAACTCTGAGAGGCTGCAGGCGTATCAGTGAGTTTGCGGCCGCTGCGCAGGGGGAGGGGGGAGAGGGCTGAAGCAGAAACTACCGTTGTTAAAAGAAATGTGTTTAACTTTGAAAATGTGGGCGCAATTTTAATTGTCAAAAACTCCAGAGAACCTACCACCACCACCACCACCACCACCACCCCCCCACCCCCGCCGCCGCTTCCGGCGTATGACGTTATCAACGACTAGTCGAAGTCGACTCGACTTTCATTACTTGACTGTCGACTTTAAAAAGAATAAAGTCGTGCAGGCCCTAGTGTGAAGTAGTAATCGGTCTGCGCATTTCCCCAAAGTAGCACATATTGACGAGTAGCATGTGTAGCGTCCAGAAATGGTCAGTTTTCACCAATACATTTGACCAACATCATCTGCACAAATCCACTATCTGGGTGGACATTCTCTCCTGTTTCCTAAAGTCCAGAATCTGCAGCGCTGGGTACACAAGATAGCTCCCAAGGTCTCCAAGCTTTCCTCTTACCGCAGACTGCTGGATTCCACTCTGAATAAAAAGTGAACTTTTACAACTTAAAACTTAAATAATCATATGTTTGAGTGAACCAGATGTTATACGTTTGAATAATCTGTGCCTAATTCAGTGAAGATGAAATGAATATTGTGCTGACAATGATATTACATATTTTGATCAGTACTGTTTGATTTAGCAAGTTAATCAACCATACTCTCATACACATATGGCACAAGGTTAAAGTTAACGTCACTGCACACAAAGATTCTTCATCCACAGAACTAGAACATTGTTGTATCTGATGAAGGTGTGGTTCTGAGGTTTGTTTGGTAAAACGTCAACAAACATGTCAGATTCTGATTCGCCAGAATCATAACACGGTGGTGATAAAACATAATTTACTTCCCGATTAAGTCAGTTTCCAGCTGGCACCTCGATTCGGCCAAATCGGGAAAGAATCCTTGTTGAAACAACCTCCTTTGACCTTAAGTCAAAACCTTGCCACGACGCTGCAAGCGATTACATACAACAGCTCTTTTCAGAGCTACTGCAACTCTCAGATATCCATCTTGGACGTCTAATCTGCAGACCCGGTTGCATCTCATGGCCGGGGAAGCTTGAACTCAGACGAAGCTACTAATCTCTGAGGATCGTGGTCTTGACGTCCGGTGACCTCACCACTCTGACCGCAAACCCTCCGGACCGCCGGGAGCAACTCATACAAGGGTATCGCAGACCTGCTTACTGGTGTCTGATGTTGTTTTATTAATAATCAACTCTCTAGCTTATAGCAGACCACTAAATTCTTTACACCCACAATTCACAATCTCTTTCAGATACAAAGGTTTTGATAAACATCACCACATTCCACCCCCACACATCACTACTTTACACACCACCATTCCATCACATAAACGTCTGTCGTAGCTTGTCATCTATATAATTAGTCTAGAAAATAAAGTTTATTTTTAATTATATCCTTGACTCTGTCTGAATTAATACGAAGTGTGTTTATGGTCCCTGATTAAGCAGAGAATCCTAAATTCTTCTGGTTAAATATTCTAAGATCAATCAGGGTGATTTCCTACATTTATATAGAATCATCACACCTTATTGATCAGAATTTAACCCCAAATGGATAGTTGGAATGGGCCCCCCACATCAGAACTTACCTCTCTGCAACGTCTGAGCTCGAGACCCGGACCCCATGCCTGTTAGGAACCCGTCTCCAAACGACGGATTTTTCTGACTTCCTAAAGAACACAGGTATTAAAAAAAATTCATTCATTTTAAACTGATTCATGCTGTGTCATTTTCTTTGCAGGCTTTATTAGAAGAGTGGGTTTTTAGCAAGACTGAATTAAAGCTAAAACTGAGTCAAGCTGAATACTCATTAGCTTTTAAATAATTCAGATTGAATGTTTTTTTTTTATTCTGTCCAACAATAAAGCAAAGAAAAAACAAAAACCACTGCAGTAAAGGGCTGGGCCATATATTCCTAGAGTTAGCAGGCGCAGCTACCACTAGCGTACTCCGTCTCTAAGTGGTCATTACATGTATTCTCACGCTTCTGCTCAATCAGGAAACCTCTAGGTCAATGTTCTACCCTAACTTTGCTTTTTAATTATTTGGGGATGTTGCAGGCCTTTTCACCGCGGCAGCCGACAGATGTCTACGTGAAAAGACAGCCCACATAGCAAGCTCACATGGAAACAATGTCAACGTTAAAACATTGAACCAATGTCATTTTGCGCCCAAATTTAATACTGAAACAATGTTGATTTATTAACTATAGACCAATGTTGTTATAGTTGCATTTCAATCAACTTGAATATTGAATCAACGTTGAAATTTCAACACAACTACAGATCAATGCAATTTCATTTATATTCATATGAGAGAAAGAATCACGATACCACTGCCGTCTCTGACAGGCATGGACGTAATTTTCACTTTAGAAGTGGGGTGGGGGGGGGGGGGTATCTTTACAGTATGCTCTAATGGGAAACAGGCTTCAGCACAAACGGTTGTTTTCCGCTTGGTGCTAGAGCTCAACCAGTGTCAATTTAATATGGCACAATATTGTTTTTGGATGGTAAAAAGTGCAGGGGTCAAAACTTGACTTTGGAAAAAGTGGGGGGAACATGTCCCCCCTGCCCCCCCCCCCAAAATTACATCCATGCAGACAGGATTCATCAGTGCTGCAACATTGATTCAACATCTGGTTTGGATCAAGATTTCAATATCAACCATTCTGATGATTCAGATGGAAAATCAATAGTTTCAACGTAAGCTTGCTATCTGCAAGGCCAAACCCCTCCCCCAGGAAACAGGTACGGAGAGCTGCAGCAGCCAAAACACCTCAAACATATGATTGTTGATATGAACAAACACCGTGAGACCCCAGCCGTGCTTAATAGCTGTGCTGAATTACCCACGAGCGTACGCCTCTAGTAGACGCAGTTACATCATGACTTTAATTTAACGTGATATATTTGATCTCTGGACACGACATAATTACTGGTACTACTGTGTATGATGGGATTTGAGCCGCCTCTCGATGGAATTTTTTTTTTTTTTTACATTAATTATAAATATATAATAAAAAAAGTGCCTGTGAGTCGTTTGAGGCACGGAGCGCTAACTCTTACCAGACAGACAGATACTTTATTACATACGTGCATTAGAAAACAGTTACATCTACAGTACAAGATGGCATCATGGAAAACAGACAGCCTGAAGTGAATTCACCTGTAAAAGGAGGAAAAGTACTGAGATGTATATAATACATCAGAATTCAGCTAAAAGATATGAAGATACAAGTCTAGGCCCTTATCACCCAGCCCTGCTGCTCTCATTAAAACACTACAAACTATTGGTGGGTTGACAGCACCCTCTGGTGGGCAAGAGACGAGCTCAACCTTTTCTTTTGACTGATACAAGGCAGGATTGTCCACACCCGGTCTCACCTTCTGAAGACACAAACTGGCCCACAGCCAGTGAACCCCCACCCCCCGTCTCCACGAACTCCAGCTCAGACACGATGATGTTGTCTTCCAGCACGGAGCCGCAGCCCATGCAGACAGCGTCACCCCGCGCCTGGTCCACATCGATCTCCGAGCCACCGCAGTTCTTGCACACCTTGGAGCTCATGGTGGCGCTCGACAAGCCTCCACACCTGATCAGAGGGTGGAGAGAGATGAGGAAAAGCCTGAACACACCTCCGCTAAGCATTTGATACATTAGGTCCTTACATTTGATTTTCCAGATATCATTTTATTTATAATTTTTTGAGAAAAATCGGATTCAGGAGGTCGGAGCTGCACAAGAATCAAACGCAGAGTTGGTGTATTTGGTCATAAAAACTTTGATAGAATCAAATGCAGAATTTATGATGAAACTTAAGAAGTTTCTTTTACAAATGGCTACATTTCATGCCTGTGTTTGACTGTAATGGGTCAGGACCAGACTCACACGGATCATATTCAACATGGACGCCCAGTAAGTTCTCTCTGGATCAGGGATTCCCTAAGTGTGGGGCGCGCACCCCTGGGGGTGCGAGAGCTGCCGCTAGGGGGTGCGCGAGGTGAAAAGTGTAATGGCTGCGGAGCTCAGAGAACTCTGTCATATGTCACCATTAGCGTAGCCAGAAACTCATTTGTGGGTGGGCCTATGAAAAAGTAAGTGGGCACAGTAAATGTAACTGAAAACATGTATATTTTTGCGAGTGCGTGTGTGTCCTCCACATGTGCCCTAATAATGCGCAGAGCTTCAGCACTCTGGCCTGCGCACGCCAATATGTTCCGTATTTGATCATTTTTAACGGTGTTGGAGAAATCTGAAGGTGGTGAGTCATTCTGGCAGATTGTAATTAACACCTGTCTCATGCAGGTGTTCTGACATTGTAAACCTCACCCACAGAACATCGTGGATGTAACAAAATAAATCAGGAAATGATTCCCATCTGAGCATTTTAGCATTATTATATTATTATATTAGCACGCTGACTGTGGGACAGCATTCTAAACGTGTCAGGCTGTTAACAGCGTGCTGAAGATCTGAAGTTCAGAGTGCGTCTGTCAGAGGTCAGACGCGTTCCAGCGGATCCACGGCTCACGGGTGCACATGTGAGCACATCTGGGCTGGGCAGAAGTAATTTTACAACATTGGTTTAAATAGCGCCAATAACGAGACGCAGTGACTGGAGCGGCTCATGGAGCTGTGCGACACACACACACACACACACACACACACACACTGATTCAACAAGCGCACGCTGCGCTGTGCCGTCAGACTGAAGACAGAAATGAGCGCTGCCTCCTCCGTGATAAAAAAAAAACTTTTAAGAGGTTTTATAACATTTTTCATTCCAGGCCAAATTAAGATATTAGCTTCTATTTTGGGATGACGTATTAAAGTCGGGTCCGCTCCAGCCACTGACTCCTCATGAACCTGACAACAACTCCCGTTACTGCAGCATTTGTTATTCCAGTCCGCGTGGCAGCGGATCGCAGATTCAGCCACACCATAAAACAGCAATAAGTCGGTCTGAGGCAAAAGTGAACCTCATATCTTTTCCATCTTGTCCCCTATAGACATTTGATTACGCACAAGTAGGTGATCAGTTCAGGTTTACGCAGAGCAGAAGGAAGGAGAGCGCTCTGGCCGCACAGGTTAAACGTTCCTACTTTAAGAAAACTGTTAAATTGCATTGTTGATGTGCTACCTGGGCACTCTAACTATTTATTTAAAATTAAATCAAAGGAAATTGTAATGGTATCGAATGTTTATTAAATGTTGATTAAATGAAAGTGATGGGGAAGTCGATCATATTCTTTTAACCCTGTCCGTCTAGTGACTGTTTAGCGTGACGTCTGATATATATACATATATATATATATACATATATATACATACATACATATACATAGCCATGCCCTGATGTGGGGGCTGGGGGGTGCGTCAACATGGTCGGGACATAGAAGGGGGTGCGCCGCGGCTTAATAAGTTTGGGAACCGCTGCTCTGGGTTAGGGCTGCAACAACGAATCGATAAATTCGATGAAAATCGATTACTAAAAGCGTTGGCAACGAATTGCGTCATCGATTCGTTGTGTCGCACAACTCTTCCAAAAGCGCCCCCCCTTCCCGCCCGCCGTTGCGCGCAGACCAGAGCAAGTCAGATCAGCGCGAGGGAGAGCCGCAGGTCAGCGCGAGGGAGAGCCGCAGATCAGGGCGAGGGAGAGCCGCAGATCAGCGTGAGGGAGAGCCGCAGATCAGCGCGAGGGAGAGCCGCAGATCAGGGCGAGGGAGAGCCGCAGATCAGCGTGAGGGAGAGCCCGTACAGGCAGATCAGCGCGAGGGAAAGCCGGCAGACTTGCGCTGCTGCGAACCGGTTCCGCATTGTTGCACAACGATCCAGGCAGCTGCTTCCAGCGCACGGTCCATTCTCAAAGTGGCGCAACCAAAAAACTATAATTAGCACACGATCGTTCATGTCCGCACATCTTCTCTATTTTCTGTCTTATTTGTGCCTGAAGCGCGCTACTGCGGATCTCATCACCTGTGCTGTGGTGATGTCACCTCACGCAGCATCGAAAACGCGCTCTGAGCTTTTCGGTCAGGAGATCCCTTTGATCTGCTCAAAAGTAACTGATGAGGTGAAAAAGTAAGAATCCAGGCAGCAGCTTTTCTGGAGACTTTAGAGGAGATGCAGGAAGATGAGAGACAGACAGGACAGGAAAATAGTTAAATAAAAACAAGAAAACAAAACAAAGTGTTGAAAAGTAAAATGTAGGTAGATTTATCTCCACTACACGTTTTTACCAGTAAAAAACAATAAGTTACACACATGTCATATTTATACATCTGATACAATTCAGATCACCTTCAAAACTCAGTCACACACCCAGGGCCGTTTCAAGACATTTTGGGGGCCAAGGCAAAATGCGATCCCCCCCCCCAATAACTGGGCTCCCCAGAAGCCTCTGTGTAATTCATACCCTCTCCAGTAGTGTTAGTTATACAGTGTTTATAAAAGCCCCTCAGACATTACTGACATGTTCTAATATTATCAGATGAAAAACTAAATTATCAGACATGCTGTCTCATCTGCTTCTTTTATAAACTTGCAAAAAGTAACAAAACCATTTGAAAGCCACTATTTGTGGATTCTCTGAAAGTTTCCATGGAGTGTGTGACAACTTATTTTTTCATTGATGCTATCGTCTAATCTCACAGCTGAAACAAGCATCCTTAATAATCTGTGCACAGGAAGCTTACCGATGCTGTAGTAAAACAAAAGGTATAATAATTTATTATTAATAAAACCTTGTTGCAGCACTAAAGCAGAAAAATTTGATTTTGCATTAAATATGCAAAATATTTACATATGAATTGTTTTAGAGCCCTTTAATTGGCAGAATCTGATATTAATTTAGTTCTTACAAAAAATGGGTCCCAACATGGTTTGTGTGGCGTTGCCATAGTGTGACATCATAGGCACATATCCCCTGTCCTCTTGTTTGGAAATGGAAATATGGTCACCCTACATTAAACAAACTGTCCACCCGGGCTTTTGCGCTGCACAGAGACGCTTCGCTGCCTATGACTGAACGTCAGTTGAGAGTCCGTCTCATGCAGACTGACCAATGAAGAGAGGGCCTCAAGTTAAGACCCTCTCCTCATTGGTCAGTCCACACGAGGTGGGTCAAAGGTTACCCTGAGCGGGTTACGTGATGTCACGCATTCAAGTATTGAGTATATTTACTGCATATTACAGTAAAATATTCTGTATGTGACCACATTATGGTGATCCTTGGGTCGTGATGATGGAGCCCTTGAATATTGTTGCCCAGGGTACAACAAAGTGTTAATCTGGCCCTGGTTCCGCCGTCACATTCCCGCAGAAACTGGTTGATCACACCGGGGCCAGACTACTAGCATGTGGTTTTACAACCACAATGTCCTCAGAAGCAAAAACGCTTTTAAAAGGGAGGGAGGAGTCCTAACTGTTGCTGCAGGCGTGTTGTGTGAGAGTGCAGTTATATACTGGTTAATATATTTTTGGGTTCAGTTGCTTTCATGTGGCCTAATGTGAGTCTATTTGGGATCATTGGAATGATCAGCAGCATTTCTTGATGTGACTTTATGGCAGTTGCCCAGGGCATCATCGCAAGGAGGATGGCATTCATTTACTTTTGTTTTATTTGGTATTTTTTCAGTCATTTTTGGAAATAGTGATCAATTTTGATTAATTCACAGCCTATGTTTAATTACATTTAAAATAAATGTCAACAGATGAGATCAAACAAAACAGATGAGAATTGCCCTTAAGCTGTTTAACTTGGACCAAGCATTTTAGGTCACAGATAGATGTAGCTTAGGGTCTCTGTCTATACACCTTATAAGACAATTTAGGTGATGGCATGTTGTTTTTCTGCTATTGAACTGTTTTCTAATAATGTTGTGTTAAATAAAGTGAAGGAAGGAGAGAAATAATGTTTCCCTAGCAGTTTTTAAAAATTTCCCCATGTAATCCGATTAATCGATTAATCGTGTCGAGACCCCATCCGATTAATCGATTATCCAAATAATCGTTTGTTGCAGCCCTACTCTGGGTGATTAGTAGATTACAGTGATCTACCTCTAACCCCCCCCCCCCCCCCCCCACACACACACACACACACACACAGAGAGACCAGACAGTCTTCAGCTGCGTTTTTGCCCTCTTGCTCACATTAGAAGGTTTTCTGATCGGTGAACACTTTCCAGAGTCAGACAATAAAACCTAAATAAATACAAAGTTTCGTTTTCAACCATTAGGACCCGTCTCTCTACATGAAGCAGGCTGGAAGATCTCAAAAGTATAACAGCTGACCTCGATTTATAGAAATACTCGAACAAAAGAACCGCGGGGTTGCTAGAACAGTGGAGGCCTCACTGAGTTCAGGTCAAGGTCAGAGGTCAGGATTCAACAAAGACCCGTCTCAACTTTACCACAAACATCCTGATCAGTGGCGTGTCCAGATCTTTTAAAATGGGGTGGCCCAGGTGAGGCACAACTTTGTGCATGGGTGGCACCAATGGCTATGCTATTTTTGTTTTACCCCCAAGCCTTTTTTGGACAATGAAAAGCCTATTTACAGGTAAATTAGTGTGGTGGTGCCTGGGGTGGCCAATCAGATTCCAAGGGTGGCATGTGCTAGCCCAGGCCACTCCCTGGACACACCCCTGATCCTGATGATCCCAAAGACTTCTGGGTAAAGATTAGCCTGGCAAGCCAGACTAAATAAAT